CTGATTGACATAAGTTAATTTCCATTAATGTGAGTCTTAACTTAAGGCATGTTAGTTTTATACACATTTATATCTGAAAAGACCTTTTTTTATATTAGCTCAAAATAACAAGCGAAAATACAGATTTGTGAAATGAGGACTTACAAAATTGAATATATAAATGTAAACAAATTCAAGTTTTTATTTAGGATTTGTTTTATTAATATTATTGGAAATACTTTAAAATGACAGAAGCCAGCAGACCTCATAAATCTGATATCATATGGAAAAGGCTAAGCAGAATGGGACCCACTTAGTGCATCAGTAGATGCATATCTTTGTAGACTAGCTTGTGAAGAAGGTTTCTGAAAGAAATAGCCCAAAAGGGGCAATGGCAACCATTTCTATATTACTGCCAAGAAAAAGCATAGTTTCACCAGAATAAATTGAACTTGAAGACCTAACTTAAAAAAAAAACTGTTTTGAAATAACTATGACTTAATAATGTACACTAGGTATATATTCATTAGTTTTTAAGAAACAGAAAAATCTAAGTTGGAAGGTTTCAAAAAAGGAAAACATTTCTAACATTGCAGATAGTCCCTCATTAATGGGATGATTCTGTAAAGCATTAGGCATTAACTCAACATCTGTCCCAGAGAGCAACTTGAAGCCCCACTGTGCAAATAAATGCTTATCATTTTAAAATAATGCACATCAAAACAAAAAAACCCAATACTCCCAGCATTAGATTTTGCAAGAAATCTGCTTAGTGAAACTGTTGGCATAATGTGTAAACTAATTCAGTTTTTGGAAAGAGATTGAAAGTAAACTGTATCCTTTTTAACAGTTGTGGTGTAGATGTGCTTGGGATGCTCTGTGCAATGCTGTGCCTCTCTTACCAAATTATATTGTAAAGTAAGGACCATTGTAAAAGAATAAAGTGATTCAGTACTGGAAGTGCTTCTCTATAAAATTAGATTACAATGGCAAACTTCAGTTGGAATGATATCAGAATTGTTTAAAACTCATTGCTATGATGTGTTCTTTGCTAGAGTTGCTGGGTCACCTAATGCAGCAAAACACACACACACACACACACACACACACACACACACACTCCATTGGCAAAAAGAACTGTTAGCATGAAATAGCACACTGCTAATTGTTGTTCAGAATTCTGACTCATCATTGCAAGTGAAGCTTGCAGTCAGGGTGGATACAAATCAATGGTTTTTAAAAAATAAAAAAAAGGATTTTTAAATTTAAATTGGATTTTTAAATTTTTATCAATTTTAATAAAATGCTTTTGGAGTAAAAATTTATCTAAAGATAGTTTTCTATTTAAGATACATTAATTTAGTTTATTCAGCATGAAATGAATTACTTAACGTAGCATGAGGCTGCATATTCTGCAATATTAGGACTGTTGGTGAGTCAACAGCAGGTCAGAGGAGGAGCTGCTGCGGGACAAAGATGACAGTTGCTCTTTAAAACATGATTTAAATCAATCCTTTTTACTCAGGGGTAGTTAACCTTTTTATACCTACCGCCCACTTTTGTATCTCTGTTAGTAGTAAAATTTTCTAACCGCCCACCAGTTCCACAGTAATAGTGATTTATAAAGTAGGGAAGTAACTTTACTTTATAAAATTTATAAAGCAGAGTTACAGCAAACCCCTACCGCCCACCATGAAAGCTGGAACGCCCACTAGTGGGTGGTAGGGACCAGGTTGGCTACCACTGCTTTTTACTAGTGATTTGAATCATGGTTTAAATTGACTTGATTTAAATGAAATCTATCCTGCTTGCAGTGTTTGGACTTTTTAGGTTGGAACACAAGTGAGCATATGATAGTTACACAGTTATAGACATTTTTTCTCTTACTGTAATTCTAGAAACAGGTTATTGAATGGTGGGCTGTTATAATTGTCTAGAAGAAATAATGTTCACAAATCATATATTTAACCTGTGGAATTGGTTTCCTAAAGATGTGATCCATCTGTGTATGCTTCAAAAGTGATTGGAAATACTTATGGAGAAATATATGTATTGATAAATTGATGTGGTAGAAATGAGAACCACAGCTGTTTACTCCATTTGCTCAACTAGTTTTAGATATATTTCTTTTTCTCTCATGTCATGCATTTATTTTGCTTACTATTTCTTTCTTCTTTTTGTTGCTTTCAGAGAGGAGACTATAAAGGCACATCTACAGTATATGGCAATAAGGCTATCAGTGCACATCTACAGTATTAGAAATAGTGGGCCTTTCATTACCAGGTTCCAAAGAATAGGAAGAGTGCTTATATACTTGCAGACTCCTCTCATATCTGTTAAGCACTGTGGAAAACACAATGGAGGACCAAAAAGTCTTTAATTGATATAGTAGGACACTTTTTATACAAATAAAAACATAGATTTTATGCTTTTTATCCACTGCATTAAGTATTACACAGTACTATATAATTGTGCAGCTTATTTGATGTGGCATTTTGCTTACAAGCACAGCCCCTCTTTGGTTCTGTGTTGTGAAGGCACACTAATACTGTGTTCTATGTGCAGGTTGACACAGAAAGAAACAATGGTCTAGTCCAATTGTCTGCATAGCCAAACTATTGAATGGGATGGTTTACAAATGTAAACTTGTAATTCTTTGTAATTAATTATTTCCCCTTTTCTATGAGAGTTCTAGCCTATAGGATACAGATTTAAATAGCATATATATCTCATGTGCCTGATTCAGTTTGTCTTCAAAAGATTTTGTGGATAGTACTGTTAATTTCTGCAAGAGGTGATTGAATTCTGTAGTACGAGTGGCTTAGACTACTGTAAATGTTGCCTCAAACTAAGTACACTCTGGTTTTGTACATTTTTCTAGCTTAACTATATCTGATACTGTTATTTTCTTTACCACTTACAATATAGAGTGAGGATTCCGACTTACTCTACCTCTGTAACTTAGTTCTCTTCCCTCACTCCCATTGTATTTTCCTATTTGGTATATATATCCTTGAATATCTTACTGCTGTTTGAAACTCAAATAATGTTTTCTTAGAACAGAAATAACTATTTACTTTTCTTCCTATGGCGAAGATGTTGCTAATCATCCTAATCTCTCATTACTTTTGCTTGTCACATTCAATCAATTTGCAAGTTAGACTTTTACAGTAGTGTACAAATGTCTTTGATCTCTCAGCTAAAATTCTGGTTCATGCTCTGATAATCTAATGCTCTTAGTGTTTATGCCAGATTCCTTTATAACTGTACAGTGTGCTCACTTACTCAAAATTCCCCCCCCCCAAATAATTCAGCTACTGTGTTCCTCATACATTTCACTCTGCTTTTTTCCCCTTTAGTTTCTGCTTTGCACTATGCTCACTTAAAAACTATTGTATCTTCAACTCTGTGCCCTTCTCACATGTTAAACATCAAACCTGTCACTTGAATCCTGTTCAACTGGCTAAGTCTCCTAGTACAGCTTTGCACTGAATACCTTAGTTTTTCTAATTTTCTGACAAAGCTTCCAACATTATTCTTGATCCTTATTCTTGGCCAAATATTTCATGTTTTGTTCAAAATATATTTATACTGTGCCTCCTTTTAAGCATGTTTTGTTTAATAAATCTGACTGTGTCATGTTTATTTATCTTTGACTTTGTAGAGTATGTGAAACCTATTGCAGTGTGTAGAGTTGATGTTTCATTTTTATATAATTAGAACATTATAAATGTAATACGACAGTTAAACTCAACCATTTTCCAGATGGATAATAACACTTAAAATAAACCTCAAATTATAATTTAAATAAGCCTTGGGGTCTTCTTTTAACATTAGAAGTTTAATCCAGCTGATATTGGCAATTTGCATTTTTAAAAAATAACATTTTATTGTTGTTCAGCTAAATGAATTATGATAAATATTGATGCAAAGATCTTTTAAAAAACTACTTTGTTTTATTATTCATGTGATTTTATTATTTTAATTATTTTGTTCCTTGAGATATCCAATCCTTGAAAAAACCATAATGCTTAAAATATTTCTAAGAACTTGATCAAGTGAATTATTCCAATTAGTTTCACATGGAAATTTGGTGTTATATAGTTGTATATTTTATAGCAATGCATTTTAACAGCAGATTTACTGATAGGTTTTCTCATAAAATATGGATAATGTGAGCTCCAAATGTTTTGGAATTTTTAGCCATGTTTGAAAGAAGTTTAAAAATACAGGCATATTGTCTTTGTTTTACCCATTTTCTATAGAACACCAGTATGACTGGTATGATGTGTACAGCACTGACATCAGTTATGTAAAGGATGGAGCATAGCTGATGCTTTCATAGATTTCCTCAGATTTTTTTCATGTATAAAGGAAGTAATGTTTTTTTTTTAAAATGTTTGCATATAAGCAGTGCTTTGGCTTAAATAAGCTGAGATTCTAGCCTTTGGAATCTTCACTCATTCTAGTGGGTAAATACACAGATTATAATTATAGATTTTTTATTCAGTATAACATGAATTATAAACAAAGTCTGTCATTTGACTAAAGAGTCGTTTATAAGTAGCTTTAATTTACTGTTTCCTTACAGAAAGATTACATGATTTTTGTAACTTTTTAAAGTTTAGAAATTTGAGATATTGGAAATCCTTTTTTAGAATGAAGTGCAATATTTACATGGAAGGAAAATTAATCTGAATGTCAATATTCCTTGTCCAAAAGAAAGGGACCTTTTCTCTACCAACATTATTAGGTTCTTACTATAATTAAAACAGAAAGATCTTTCTATTTAAAAAGACATTTATTTGATGAAATAACTTAGAATATTCTTTCCTGGTAAATGCAGTTAAGTGTAGATTTCAAAAATCATTGCATTATTTCCCAAAAGCCTCTTTTGAAAGAGAAACCATTGTGAAAGATTCAGTTTTAAGAAATATTATTGCATAAGGCTTTAAGTATCCATCTGTTTTAAATCATAGAAATGTGATGATGATAAGAAATATTTCTGATGTCTCTGATAGTTGGTGTGGATGACTACATCTCAGAATCTGATGCGATTATTGTATCTTCAGCCCTGGACTTTGTCTCACAAGATGAAATGTTGACGCCTTTGGGAAGATTGGACAAATACGCTGCAAGCGAGAATATTTTTAATAGGTGTGGTATATAGCCTAAGTAATAGAGTAAATATTTTATTGTGCCTGTGTGTGTGACAGAGAGAGAGAGAGAGAGAGAGAGTGATGTGTGTGTATGAGAGAGAGAGAGAGAGAATTTAATCTTTATATCATTTTGAAATGAAATGTATACCCAAATCTACATTTTTTTTTCTATTTTGTGGATTACATGGCCCTTTTCAGGGCTTTTATGATATTTTATATAAAACTATAGCAGTAAGAATCTCTTACTATGATCACAGAAAAAATAATAGTAGCTCAAGTACTCAAGTCTAGGATACTGAAATATATGTATGATAAAAATGATCTTAATTATTTAATGAATTCTCAGTTGCAGTTCTATACACTTGTATTGAATATTTGTAGCAGTACAACAGCGCTGCATTAGGGGAACAAAATTACTATGCTAATTCCGCTTAAACTCAGATTTGTTGTGAAGGCCTAGGAAATATGTACTAATTTTAATTCTATAAAGAAGATCAGGATAAAAGTGAGATTGCAAAACATCCAGAGATATTTAGTAGCTGGCAATCTATAAATGTTTGGGTTTTTTTTTAAAAAAAAATTGGGATAGATAAAGTTCTTGCAATGTAATAATATGCAGTAAAATTACAATAAGCTTTTTATGCTATAGGCAAATGGTGGCTCGAAGTTTGTTGGATACTTTGAAAGAAGTGAGTGATGATGAGAAAGATTGTATTGCTGTATTGGAAAGAGTCAGCAGGCTAGCAGATGATTCAGGTATGTAATGACTGACAAAGGACAATCCATCCAAATTTTATAGATATGAATAATGCTAAGATACAGAGGCATAATTGACGGACAGGGAAATTTAAAAACAATTGAAGACTTGGCAGAACAAAACATGAAAGTTGACTGGCTAACCTACTTGCAGATCAAAACTAAACACAATAATGATACTAAAATATATGACATCGAAACTGAACCACACAAATTGGATCAAATAATTCACAGGTCAGATAGAAAGATAATAGGGAGAATATATAAATTTCTCCTGAAGCATAAAATGGAAGAGGAAATCATGAAAGAACAAATGGTAATATGAACATTTTTTAAAGGCAGTATGATAAGAAAAAGGACTTGGAAATTCAGAAAGTAATAAAACTTTAAGAAAGAACAGAGTTGTCTAATTGATCAGAAGCCAGGCAGAGAATGGAAATCTATCTGATTAAATGTAGATTAAAAAAACTCAAATAAAATCAAATTCAAAATGTTAGCGGTCATGAAAAATAATAATTGGACATTAAATTAGAAGGAATCCATATGGGATGTTCATGTATTTGGGAATGAAGTTCTGGAACTGGTTGATTTCCTACATAAAAAATAGCTAATGTCTTCTAGCAAAAAAAAGCTTTTGAAGAAGAAATCATTGTACGCCAGAGACATGTTTATGAAAATATGTTAGCAGTTCCTTTTTTTATTATAACAAAGGCATTGTTTATATATCAGATCCATCCTTTGGGTTGCATGTGTGGGAGTACTATTGTTTCTAGACATTGTTTTATAGTCTCTGCTATGAATCCTGAGAGAATGAGAGATCCTATGAGCGTTCCTCAGTTTTTTTGGTATATTTATCCATCAAACTGCAAGTAGGTAGTGAGGCAGATGTGGTCCATGATCCTGGATATTTTAAACTTAGTGTATTTAGAGAAGACATGTCTAATCTTAGGTATTTGGAGTACATACGTACGTACGTACGTACATACATACATACATACATACATACATAACAATGAACATCTTCAAAGGAAGAAAATCCACAAGGGAAGAAAATAGGAATGTACTTCTTGGATATCCTCATTAGCAGAGGAAACAACAAATTAGAAACCAAGTCTGTTGACAAATACCCCACATTAACCAAATGCTCCATTGCCAAAGTAACAGCCCAATCTCTCACAACATGAGCTGTGTAAGAGCATTATTCAGATGAGTACAAATGCACCAGAAAAAGGAAACAGACTGTCTGTACAATATCTTCCAACAAAATAGATGGGCAAGCAAGTTTATCAAAAAATACCTGACTGCTTATCTCACTGCAGCAAAACTAACACAATTTATGAAAAGGCTAACAGTACATATGATACCCCCAAAACATATCAGAAACAACCAATAAACTATTGCAACCACACAACATCACCATAGCACACAAACAAAACTCCTCCAAAACATCTAAGGAAACCAAAAGATTCAATGCCAAAAGAGAAATAAAACAAAAGTTATCTATAACATACAATGTAAGATATAAGAACTGTACAGACTTACAGATGGATATATAATCAATACTCTTTTTTGACATATTTTGTGTTTGTTTAATTTCAATATATTTTGAAATATTACTTATGAAATATTTCTGAATATTTTCCTTATAAAGATTTGAATAATAATCTTAGTTTCATCCTGAATACTTCAAAACTGCCTCCACTATGTAGAGAGCTTTCTGCCCCAGGCTTCCTATCTTTTAATTTAGGTGTACCAAAGGATCAGTAGAGATCTTATGTAGCTTGTAGATATGGGAACAATTGGCTATATTTTGGTTTATCAAAACCCTTTATTTATCAGTAGCTTGAGTTTTAAAGAAGGAAAAATATGTTATTTTTAAAATAAGGCAATAATACTTTTTTAGGACATTCATTAATTGTCAACTGTAAATCAAAATAAGACTAATTATATAACCCCTTTACTAGCAATATATTGTACGTAATAGTAATTCACATTCAAATGAATATAAACATGCAACTTACAAATTATATGATTTCCTTCTTTGTGCTTTTATCAATAGAGCCAACAGTAAGAGCTGAGTTAATGGAACAGGTGCCTCATATTGCTATGTTTTGTCAAGAAAACAGGCCGTCAATCCCTTACGCTTTTTCAAAATATTTATTGCCCATTGTGGTGAGGTATCTAGCAGACCAGAATAATCAGGTAAGATTACTTTAAACTTTTTGAAATCATGTCAATATTTTACCTATTTAGAATTAAATAATTTGTTTGATGTCTTTTGCATCATATCTAGTTTCATAATTTTTTGTAGTTTTTAAAAGTGCAAACATGGTACGTCCTTACCCTTATCTGAAAACCTCACACTTTGAAATCTAGGTAAAGGATTGCTTAAAGGCAAATTAGATAAAAATGATTTAGCTACTGAGTTAATCAAATTTTTCATTGATATATTATAACTCAACAGTCCGTTATTTTCCACCAATATTTCATTGTTTCAAACAGAATTTGCAGTTCTTGTATGCTGTATACATATTTTACAGATTCCTTTTTTCTTTCAAAAAAGTAAGACCTAGGAGTTTTAGAATTACAATTTCTACTACCCAAGCTACTTTTATTACGGATGAATTTCCAAAATTCAGTGACAAAGTACCCGTATTGCCAAGGATTCTAAAATCAAAATAAGTGTATTAATCAATTGTTATATGTCATAACAATTTGGGAAGCAGTTCTTTCCAAAGAGTTAAATATTGCAGCTGTGCCAGTGGTCGGTTCCGGATCCCGTTGCAACCGGTACTGTGCAACCAGTACGGTGCAACGGGGGCGGGTTCCACCACATGCACGTGGGCAGCACGCGTATTCGTACTTACCACCTACAACACTCCATGATGCTCCAGCTGCTTGGCGGAGCATTGCGCAGGGGCCATACGCTCCATGCACATGTGTGGAAGCCCCGAAAACCTCAAATACCGGTAAGGAGCGTGAGCGGGAGGCTGGGCCCTCCAGAGCACCGTACCAGAATGGTACCTGGTGCTCCCGGCAGGCACGAGTACGCCCGTACCGGTCGTAACCCACCACTGAGCTGTGCCCTTCTGATAATATCACTTGATCCTTTCTGTAGCTGCGGCTGCAGAAAGAAAGTGAGGACTCAGGCAAAGATAACTTTCGGCTGCTACATTGGACATTTTATATTTACATTTTATATTTGGGTGTATGTGGACAATATAAGGTTTGTGTGGAATATGTACATGCTACTGAATTTCTGCTACCAGATTAAAAAAAAAAGGGGAGATGCTGAAGCCTGCTCCTAATTTATTCAGAGAATGAAGGAGTATGGTCCAGAATTCTATTTTAGAAAAAAAGAAAAAAACAAGAGTAACAAAGGAAAGAGCAAAGTTTTTTTTCTAAAAGAATAGGAAATCTGAGAGGTGAAAGGCTGGGGAGCAAAGTGGGATAAATGTATGTGAGTAGCATAGAGGAAACATGATTTTTTATTGAAAATGTTTTGTGTAGGAGAAAATAAGGAGGCAAAAACTCACAACCTACACATTGCCAGCACAGCAACTCTGCTGTTCCATGCAACCCATAGCTAGCTAATAGTTTCTGTAGCCTGTTCAGGAAGATTAATGTTGGCTTTATCTTTACATTGGAGATAACACAGCTTTATAACATTAATTTCTAATTAGGAAAATTTCATTATTTGTGAACCAGTGTTTTGTCATTTTGAATGCTTTTATAGTTTTCCTTTTTCTCTGTTCTGAAGAGCAGAAGGATTCTGGTAGCAGCTTTTCAGACTAGCAAATGTTGCTAAAAGGCATAAACTTTCATGAACTACGACTCATTTCATCAGGTGCATGAAATGTCTAACAAATGTAGGATATAGAAGAATAGAGAAAGGGGAAAGGGGAGAAATCAAGGGTGGTTATGCAGTGCAAGTTATATGTGAGACAGATTACAAATATTTTATCAATTATGTTTGAGGTGTGAAAAACCCCATGCCTTTGTTGAGATCTTTTGCGATGGCCTGAAAATGTTTGAGGTGTAGAGTACATGAGTTCAGCAATTTCTTCCCTTTCTGGGTTGTTAAAATATTTTTGTTCCAAAACAACAACTTTGAAACATTGTAGTGCAATGTTCTGGGAGATTAAAATGCTCTGATGTTATTGTGCTCTTGAGTTTTGAATCCAGAGTTGTGTCCATTTTTTGTGCAGTTTGCCCCATTAAAAGTTTGTGAATTAATCTACATATTTGAAGAATGGAAATTAATATTTCCAGATAAGAATTCAGAACCACTTGGATTCCATAGCAAAGTGAAACAACTAAAAAACTGTGTGAAAAGGTTATTTGACTATTCATCTCCCATTAATGCTTTGTAATGCTTAACAAATATCATCATTGCAGTAATACAATTAATGCCAATTATTAGAATCTTTATCACACATATGACTCATTGCTCAGAAATATATTGCAGAATCCATAAATACATAAAGATAGTCTTTGACTTATAGCCATTTGTTTGGTGACAGAAGTTATGACAACACCAAAAAAAAGACTTTTTCCATTTTTCACACGTACAATCATTGAAGCACCCACACAGTCACATGAAATAAATAATAAAATAATTCAGACACTTGGAAACTGGCATGTATGTATGACAATATCATGTGATTAACTTTTGCAAACTTTTGATAAGCAAAGTCAATGGGGAAGCCAGATTCGCTCAACAACTATGGTAAGAAAGGTCGTAAAATGAGACAAAACTCACTTAAAGGTCTTGCTTAGCAATGGACATTTTGCAGAGATTGGCACAAATGGAATTGTCCTTTTCCTGCTTTTTTATATTTTTACATAGGTGAGAAAAACAAGTCAAGCAGCATTACTTGTTCTGTTGGAACAAGAACTTATTGAACGATATGATGTGGAGACCAAAGTATGTCCTGTTTTAGTAGAACTGACTGCTCCAGATAGCAATGATGATGTGAAGACAGAGGCAGTGGCAGTAAGTAA